TAAGTGGGGGCATACTCGCAATAGGACGTCCCGGGAGTCAGGACATATCTGAAAAAAGCTCCTACGACCAAATTCAGTCCAAATTTCTCCAAAAATGCCTGGTGGCCTATGGACTTCCCGGGCCTTCCCGGGCCTTCTCGGGCCTAAGTGTGACCCCTCCACCTGTTTCACAGGAACCAACGCCAGAAAGTCGTGCACCGATCACTCGGCCTCACTCGTCCTTCGGCCGCTTGTTGCTTAGCTCAGCTGAATAGAGCAACATCCGTCTGAGTTGAAGGTCACAGGTTTGAATCCTCGCCGCACTACATAGCTGCCCAGCTGATAAGGACGAAGATAAAATGAACTACTTTGCCTTTTTGTCACTTGTACCTATTCATGCTGGCCAGCTATGTCATCCCCTTCCTTCTGCAAAGGAACGGGCAGACAGGAGAAGTGTTACAGAAGGAAGGTAATGATGTAGAGGAGTTTGAAAGAATCATCGGATGGCGCGAACTTGCTCGAACGCTAACGGGGGGGGGGGGAAATACACTACAGTGACAAGACAAAAATGATAACGCGTTCTGGAGGTGTAGCGGACCTCTGGTTGGTTGGCCTGTGAGACCAGCCCCTTGGCCTGTTCTCACAGGCCTGTGTTCTATTCGGGGCAGTCCAGTCCGGGCCGGTACCTCTGTCGGTACCAGCCAGTCCAGTCCAATCCCGTCAGTCCGATGGGGTATACCCCAGCAGTTGTCTGTTTTCGAGATCATTCTTCACTTGCACATTTTTGGAGTACGTGCATGGGAGCTGCGCTGTGCATCTTGCTCCCCCCCTTCTTCCTCCATCTTCGTCTCTATCATTAGCGGAGCACCACACCTGGTGGGTCCGCTACATTGGTATCGGAGCGGGAACGGTCCCCGCTCCCACCCACCACCCCGCACAGCAGTGAAAGCAGCCCAACCCCAACCCGAGAGCAGGGTTTTTCGGGCTGTTTTCAGGGCGTTTTCAGGCAAACGGACGGGGAAAAGCAGGCGCAGCAGGAGGTGATACGTGGTGGAAAAAGCAGGCGCCGCCAGGCGCAGCAGGAGGTGACACGTGGTGGAAAAAGAAGGCGCCACCACAAGCGCGTGCACGCAGGCGCCAAGGCCAAGGCCGCCGCACGGCGCGCGCGCCCACGCTGCCCCGCCCCGCTCCCGGATTTATATTATCAAGATCCGGGAGTTTTGCTGCTGCTAGGGTTTGAACCCAGGCGCCTGTTGGGCCATGCGCATGCGTAAGCACCCTAATAACACACTCGCCACAGAGTGTAGATGTCCCTGTAGCACGGCAACCTCGTGTTGAAGAGGTGCGGGCTATTTACCCCCCCCCCCCTTTGCCGGCGAGCAGCGAGCAG